ACTTAAAAGCAAGAATCGAATGTGAAATGTGTCATTCTGTCCAATCAGCTCTAGTCCACACTAGAATTATGATGTTTTATGTCCCACCTGTTTTCAAGGACTTAAGGTGTTTTACAGGGATAAAAGACAGTGAAAAATAAATCACAGATGGATAAAACAAAACAGAACATTTAAAAGGAAACAGAAAAAGTACGTATTACTAGATACTTAAAAGCAAGAATCGAATGTGAAATGTGTCATTCTGTCCAATCAGCTCTAGTCCACACTAGAATTATGCTGTTTTATGTCCCACCTGTTTTCAAGGACTTAAGGTGTTTTACAGGGATAAAAGACAGTGAAAAATAAATCACAGATGGATAAAACAAAACAGAACATTTAAAAGGAAACAGAAAAAGTACGTATTACTAGATACTTGCAAATAACTAACTTACCAGATGGCGGTAATTTTTGGTCAACTTTCTGGCAGGGAGAAAGAAAGGGATTTTTTTCCTGATGAGGTATTCAATTTTAAAGTTAAAAAAAGTTTGGATATCATCTAGTCCTATACCCTGGCTAGGTAGAACCAAGGCCATGACTAGAAATCATGTCTCCTATTACAGATGAAACAAACACTCATATATAGAAAACCCATTATTTTTTCCTTTATTAAAACTCACATCAGATTTTACCCTATGAAGTTGTTGTATAAATAAGATAGAATAACAGTAGTTTGATATTTTCATCTATAGTTTTCTTTTTTAAAGATATAGAAATGTTCTTCAGGTAATTGATTCTTTCATCAAACTTATAAATATAATCAATATAATAATTAGTAAGCTTAGTAACATTTCTGTAAAGGAGTATATTTTCACCTTAATTATGACAAAATCCATATACTTAGCTCTCTAATGGCTAACTTAATACATAAATGAAACCTAGAGAACTAAAATAAATGGTACTGATCCATTGATTCATTTTTTTAATATTTCAAGTTTTTATTTAAATTTTAGTTAACATATAGTGTGATATTAGTTTCAGGAGTAGAATCCAGCAAATCATCATTATATAACACCTAGTGCTGATCTACTGATTCTTATAGAACCTTGATGGGAAGAGGTAACCTATCAAAATCATCCAAGGGAGGCCTTCCCACACTCCTTAAAATTTTGGTACACTGCAGAGAAGCAGCCTATTCAATGTCCCTTACCTTCCTAAGGGAGACTTACTGCTACACCAGAGCCAATGACAAGAATGTGTCCTGCTTGTCTGGTATGCAGGAGTAGAATTAAGATTGAGAAATACTATTCTCTTAATAGGACTTGAAATATAGATATTCTCAGATTTTGGGTTTTTTAAAAGATTTTATTTATTTATTTGAGAGAGAGAGAACACTAGAGAGAGAGGGCAAGCACAAGTGAAGATCACAGGGAGAGGGAGAGAAGCAAACTCCCTGCAGAGCAGGGAGACCAACTTGGGGCTCAATCCCAGGACCCTGGGATCATGACCTGAGGCATAGGCAGACACAACCAAATGAGCCACCCTGGCGCCCCAGATATTCTCAGATTTTGGTTAAAATAAGTGGCAAATATCAGATGTGAAAGTGGTGAATTTATTGTACCTTTTGTGAAAATATGAAACCTAAGTTGTATTATGAGACCAGACAATGGGCAATCCGTCGTAAGCATGGTGTGAGCAATGAACTCAAAAGAAATGATTACATCTCTTAATATGGTACTATTTGTTAAAAGATATAATCCTAAAACTGAAAGATGACCTTATATGTGTTCAGTACATGGGGGTATACTTGTTCTGTAAAGAGCCAAGTAGTAAATGTTTGAGGCTTTGCAGGCCATACAGTATCTGTCCCAACTACTTAGTTCTCCTGTTTTAGTGTGAAAGCAGCCATAGACAATATATAAATGAATGTGCATGGCTGTGGTTGGATAAAACTTTATTTATAGACACTGAAATTTGAATTGCTTATAATTTTCACATATCACAAAATATTCATTTGGTTTTTTTCAACCATTTAAGATGTAAAAAAAAAAATATTCTTAGCTTATGGGTTGTACAAAACCAGGTACAAGCTAGATTTGAACCCCCCCCCCAGGTCATAGTTTGCTGACCCCTCTTATAGACCTCTGTTTTTAGATAAAACTAGCTAAACCAATCCAGACAGATAAATCTATATGATATTTAAAATTCTTCCGATAGGAAGATTGTCCACCTACATTGTTACTATCTTCCAGTGATTAATTATCCCTCTGCAGTATCTTGCTGATCCCTGAAGGACTCAGTAATTTTGAAGTGTCTTATTCTGGGAGCTAGAAAGGTTATCCATACCACAACTCTGTTACAAGCATTAACTCTGACTGGTCTGGGATTAATCATTATTGAGAACATTGAATGGAATTATTAATCTTCCTACATACAATTCTAATAGCTCCCAACAACAGCAGGGTACTGTTGCAACATCAGAAACCTATTCCAGAAATGCTGATTTTTATATTAAAATCCTTGCCATACCATCTTACTTGTCTCAAATAAATAGATATTTTTAGTAAACACTAAAACCTCAGTCCATTGTTTATTATAAAATAACACACATTTCAAAAATAAGATACTGGAATGAAGTAACAAACTAAATTTTCAAGGCCTTTAGGCTCAGTTACAAAATATGTTGGTCAGTCTCTCCTGATTTTAAGTTATTCCCCCTTTAAATACAAGAAAACAGTTTTCAAAACCTAGATTAGACTCCTAGATGGCATCAGTATATCATTGGCTCTACTAACACTGATTTAGTTACCCTCGAAATCCTGAGTCAATCAAAGCTTAAGAGTCCTCTCTTCAATTTGCATTTGACTTAGGCAATAAGGATCATAATTCAGCCAGTCTTTTGTAAACCTCTGTAGGTCATCCGTTTTGTCTCATGCAAGTCAAGAGAAACTCCCCCAATTTTTTATATGGTTTGTTCTTTTCCTTTTTTGTAAAATGGATCTAAAAGATAATTTAAAATTTAATAGCATTAATTATAACATCAAAGCAATTTAATATGCTGTGGTTATATTGAAATAATAAGGATTTACTTACCTTGACTTTTTTCTTCTATTAAAGCAACCAAGCAGGCCAACATAACTCCTTCCCTCCTTGGTACTAGCTGCGGGCTCAGGGCCAATTACTTTTACCCATAAAGTATGCCTCCTTCCATTCTGAAGCCTATCAGAACCATTAACTGAGTAGCATTGAGTTTTCTCACTGTTGGTTACCTCACTGACGACATCCTCAGGATATCCTATCCCACTGAGATACTTCTCCACTCTTATATCTCATTAGAGCAGTATGCTGGATTATATGGGTTCCAGAGCTAGGTTACTGTTGCCACACCTTAATTCTGTCCCTAATTTCATTGCATAATGAAAGTAATTATAATGTATAAAACCTGAAGTACCTACTATCAGATTTCATCGCCATAAGACACCCATTTCCCCCATATTTTAACCTCTGAAAAATCGGTATGCATCTTACAATTGAAGTCATGCCTTTGTTCAGTTGGTAGCATTTTTCTTAGTGGCATCTTAGAGTAAGTAAAATATGGTATATTGCAAGCATTATGCTAGGTGCCAGGATTATAAATTGCCTCCCCTCAAACGTGTGCATGTGTATGCACACATGCGCCT